CTGACTGGAGAAGTGAGAGAATAGAAGCAACTCACAGCTCTGATCGGATGAGCGCCTGGTTGGGCAGTTAGTGCCTGGACAAGGAGACTTAAGTGTTCTGTTGACATTTAGGGGGGTGGAAAGTTACAGGAGGGAGTTTAGAGATGTATATAAGGGATGTCAGAACCTGCAATAAAGGATTTCAATTGCTCATGTATCTGAGTCAATTTCAATTGCTCATATATCTGCAGTGTCTGAGGACATTGCAATCTTGTGTTAGCTAAATGGTATCTGTGTGTAACAAATACACATAAAATTACATTAAAAAATATCGGCTACTGTTTTTTGTTCACTTTTTTCCTTAATTTACTTGATCTAGTGGGAAGCTATAGAAATTTGATCTCATGTTGAGGCTACTCTTGTTTCCTTGGTAAAGTTTTAATCTTTACCAAACTTCAGCCATTTGGCTCCTGACCATGTTTTTGCACCGTGAGAATGTGATACAGGCAGTGTCTCAGTCTTCAGAAACCAGCTCTTTAAAACTGCAAGAAATGATCTTGCCAGTAATTCTGCTGAGAAAAGATGAAGTGTTGAGAGTAGACAATCCCACGACTCTGATTTTGTTTGTACAACTTCATTGTAGTCAAGATCATATATGGGGAAGGAATTCTCCATTTCCTGCAAATGGGGAATTAAGGGGGTCATCAATTAGCATCAGATGATGTGCCTTAGATTTTCCATCCTCTGTAAAGCATGTGTCACTGTTAGATAGAAACAAGTAGACTGTACTAATGATTTTGAAAACCAACATAAAAGACTTTGGTGGTCTGCCATGAGAATAGAAGGAAATCAACAACTGGTGAAAACTACAATTCATTTTGGTAGATATCGATAGCTGGATATCTGAAATGATGAAGTTAAAACAGCAGTCCTCTAAAGTATTGACTAACACTCTCTTGGGTAAGAGGACCTCATCTTGAAACCAACAGAAACCTTAACTTTTTTTCACTCGTTTCTGTTTGTTGTTGGGCTGGGTGGAGGGGAAGGACAGGGCAACTGGTCAGGTGCTTACCCCAGCTCTGATTACCACATCATGGTAAAATGCAACACCTGTAACTTTCATTGTAAATTGAAGAACAGATTTTGTTTTTCTTCCAGAGTTATCAGTTTACCCCATGTGAGAGTAGTTTTCTTGCTTAATTCAGTTAATTTTCTTTTCTCTAGTTCTTACCAGTTGGGAAGTACTTGCATTACGAAGGTAACTCAAGATAACAAAGGTAAAAATGTAGGGAATTGGCTTTTAATATGAACAAATCTTTCATGACTTATTCTCTTTTCCTTCAAATAAATACATTCCTTAATTCCCTTTGTTTGAATGTTATTTAAAGAACATATCTTTGTTATATCTTGTGATGATAAGTTTTACTGGTCAATTGCAACTTTAACAGTTTCTTGTGACCCTGATGAGTGGCTAAATTTTATCAAGTTGATTACTATCCCATTTATCTCTTCTGTAATGCAATATAGGGTAAACAGAACTGTTTACACTTCCTAATCTAATCTATTCTAGTGTCTAATCTAGCATTACGTTATGTATTCCCATTTTTTACTATATGAACATACAGGCTGATGACTGAATATCACTTATTTCTGCTTCAGGAACTCCATGCTTCTAATTGTTCTCATGTCCTTCCATTTTTTTTCTATCCATGCTGCTTTTTTTTTTTTTTTTGGTGAGAAAATAATCCAGTTTTTCAAATGAATATAGTGGTAGTATTTGGCACAATTTCAATTCTTTAAAACTGTTGTTAGTTAGATAAGTAGACTGTTATAATATGCTCTTGACTTGGCTTTTGTAGTAAGAGGTGAAAGCTGAAAACAAGTCTGCCACTGAGGAAGAACAAATGAATACATCAGGACCAGGCTCGGTGGAATACAGCTAAAATGCATTTTAAAATGCATTTTCCTCAAATCTTAAAGCACACACATGGAGGTGCTTGCTCCCAGTTATGCAGCAGAAGTGACTGAACTCCATTTCTATTTACGTTTGCTTGTTTTTTTGATTTTTTTAAAATGAGGCACTAAACAATGTGAATTTTCACCAAACTATGAGAGACATAGGTGCTGCTGGAGTGTTATTTCCACAGTTAAGAAAAGAGAGATCTGGAAGGAATAAAGGAAGGCACTGGAATAAAAGACAATAAGTAATGTTATATGTTTTCTAATATTATTTTGAATTTCTTAAATTTAGAATAACTTAATAACACCAAAAAAGTGCATATGTTTTACTTCTTGTGTTTTCCACATCAGTACTTTATTGGCTAAGGAAACTAGCAGACTGCAAAATTTCTATTTTGCATTTACTTTGATTAGGGTATAACTTATTGTTCTTGAAACAAAGAAAAAGCCTGAGCTTTTCACAGGCCCTGATGTATGGTATGCTCACAAAGATTTACAAATACTGTGTTTTAAAGGCAGAAAACTTTTCATAAAACAAACAAAAGTAGATCATCCAAAAATATATCTGAAAGTAGAAACTTTTGAAGCCTTAACTATAGCAACATGTAGCATAACCTCTTATTTAAACTTTACAACACGTTGCTTCTAACAATGCTATGTCTGTTAGCTAGCTAGCTCACCTGATCTGGCTTGCTTCTTTTTATGCTTAATAACATCCACCTGTATCATGACACCAGAGACAACACAGATGTTCCTGTAATCAAATTCAAATGATACCTTTCATCAGCTGCAAAGAAGTCTGTCTTAAGTGTATATTATCCTGTGTTATTATCCTGCACTTCGTGTTTGGATTCCAGTATTGTCCTTGGTGTAGGGAATTAATATTATCAGAGAGTTTGGATTATGTGACTGTGATGTTGTATGGATCTTGCTTTTGTTATTACAATAAATGGTTTAGCTTATTTTTTTCTCCTTTACTTGAACTGCACATTATATTTTCCAATATAATTTGGCAAAATATTTCTTTTCAGAGCTCTACACCAAATGGTGTTGTCCATGCTGAGTATATTCTGTTCTTTGGCATTAGTAATAGGTCCCTGCAGATGGTCTACTACTCTAAGGCAGGCTTTGATTAATTCTGCTACAAATTTTATTGCAAGCCGAAATCATTACAATATTGTTGCAGCCCTAACGTAAATCCGTGATTATTCCTTGGAAAGGGGATTCAAGGCTACTGGTCTTTTGTCAAAATTATTTTGGTTCTTGCAGGCTATCACGAGGCCTGCAGCCTCTGCTAGTGAATGAGTCACAAAAAGAGAAATTGGAACCTGATGTTCTTGTCTTTTCATACAGAGAGTGATGGAATGACATGGCATTTAAAAAACCACCAGAAACTGACACTACTTCTACCAAAAGTCCTCTCATCGTTACAGGACTGAAAGAACTGGCATAGCAATACAGAGACATCTCTGTAAGATACTCTTATCATACACGGAATCAAAATTAAGCAATCGATTTTGAAAATGGACACTTGTGTGTTGAAGCATTCAGTGTGATGAGCCACATTTAATAGTGTTTATGCATTTTCTTCCAGATACAGACTTGCTAGCTGTTCAGGAGCAAAAAGAAGCATTTTCTGTTTGCTTTTTAGATCAAGTTAAATTATTTGTACACAAAACCATGTTTTTTCTTGTCAAGTGTCTCCAAGGACTGTTCTTCTATCCACTGTTTCCATGTCTTTAACAGAACTTTCTTCAGGTAAATATGTCACTTTGAAAAGCAGCTGAAGTTTGCATTTTATTTAAACTTACTTTCAGCTCACAAAAAGTACTTGTCCTGGATTGCAGTTGTTAAAGCAGTATGTAGATAAAGTAAGACTACATCTCTTCCTTGAGAAAACGAACACAAAACTACTGTACTTTTACTGTGATTTGCATTCTAGCATTGTTTTGAACAGTTGCATCTCTGAATAAGTATTCACAACTGCAAAGCATTTAAACTAGTCTTGGTTAATGCAGATACAGCAATGAAGTGATGGTTAGTTCTACATGTGATCTGTTGAAATCAATTTCATTAGACAAAGTTTTAAACCGAAATTTCACAAAAGTTGTTTTTTCTCAGTAACGTGGGCAAGAGAGGAGTAAGATTATAGTAAGATAATGGCTTTGACTCGCTCTTTAAAAACACTGTCACAGCAGTGAGGTGAAGAAAAGGCAGGTAAAACACACTGACATTCTTCATAGGGAAAGATATGGAGTTCCATTGAAACTCAGGACTGAGAATGATCACTTATAATAGCACCAAGAGCAACTAAACTCACAGAAAATGCAATATGAAAAAGGGAAAACAGAGGGGGGAATAAAGCAATTCCTATGATGAGAGCTCAAACCTTTACAAATGTTTCCTTTGCTCCTCTTAATACAAAAATGAAACACAATCTCAGGAATAATTTTTAATGTAATTTGTGGTTTTCTAATTAAAAAAGCTTTATATAGCACTAATCTCTCCGTGCTTTTTTAGTATAGAAGCTAATATGGATGTCTTCTTAATTACTTTTGCATATAAGCCAGAATTTGGGTTTAGATTTCTTTTTCCTGTATACGTATGCACCCACAGCAAATGGACTTTAGATCTCATGTTCTCAAGCACCTGGCTTTGAGCATTTCTGGCCTTCGGCAAACAGTGACAAGGAAGCAATTTGTCCTCTGCAGCTTTACGCAGACAGAGGTGTATTTTTAGGCCATCTCACAATGAGTAACGCACTTTCCTTGCAGCAGACATGTACAGGGTGGGGACTGGAACCCAGGGCTGTGCGGTGAATGGACGAAGAACGCTCGGAGAAAGCTGCGGTACGTGTGCCGCTGCCGACCCAGCTCGCTTGCTGCTGCCCCCGGCGGCAGGCCGCCCGGCGCTGCTGAAGCCCGGCTCCTCGGGAATGCTGGGAATGTTGAGTCAGGGACTGGCAGCCCAGCCTGCCAGGCTCGGAGCTGACTGAGGGACACTCGCTGGGGGACAGAAAGACGAGGGCCGGGAGCGCGCAGCCCCCCCAAGGCAACAGCGAGGTCCCTCTGCCTCGCCCCGTGGCTGCTCGGCGGCCCCGGCTCTCCCTGCTGCCTCCTTCCTCCGCGCGAGAGAGATGTCAGCTGAACGTGATGTTGTAAAATCCATGTGAGGACGAAAGACAGATGCAACGATTTGAAAGGTGAGAACCTTGAGGGAGAATATGGCTGTAATGCATTGCTGTGGATATATTGTGATTAAGGCAATTGCTAGTATTGCTTTCTGCAACTGTCTATAGTTGAAACTGGAAATGAAATTGCAGAGATTTTTTATATTGCCTCAGAAATACACGGTAATAAATGGGACCAAGTGCACATCTTCTGGTAAGAAAGTGCCTCTCCCTACAGAATCGTCAGCCAGAAACCCTTCTTGCAATTTTTCCTAAAAGCAACCATAGGAGTCTCTTTTTCTTGCTTGCTTTTTTTTTTTTTTTTTTTTTTTTTTTCCTTGCTTGTTTTTATTTATTTGTTGGTGGTGGTGGTGGTGGTGGTGTGTGCCTGCTCTCCATTTAACAATACTATTGCTATTAAAGTTTTCTAGAATATAATTGCTAGGCTTTGGAAATTCCTGGCTTTATCTGTGAATGCTGGGTAATGTTTGATTTAAAATTGTGTCAGGAAAAAAAAAAAGAGAGATTTCTGTTCTCTTTCAGTGAAGGGAAAGCAGAAATAAACAGGATATTATTTTGTAGTTATATAATTAATGAATACTTCCAGTGGTTGATCTTTTGTGATGCTGTGTGATTTTTGTTTCCTAAGATCATTTTAGGTAGGACAAGAGCGATGCAAACGATTCATTCCACGCACATATTCACCGAGGGTACACATGTATTTTGCTGAGAGCACTGGATAGCGATATGACAGAGGTGCTGCACATATACATATGGATATATTATTAGCGTGTGATTGATTTCTAGGCGGCTACCTGCTAAGCCCGTGATGGATGGATGGGAATCTACTCCCTTAGCGGCGAATTGATTATTTCCCGTTTGATGGACAGCCAGGCCGGCCACTTGCGCTGGCAGATAGAAGCTCGTTGCAAATTGGCACAGCCAATAACTGCAGCCAAGAGGAGGGCAGATCCCACTTGTCAGGGTTAGTTTTCTGGTCGGCTTTTTAAATCAGTGCTTTCGCTGAACTATTTGTTCGAGATTTGTGGT